CCATAAAATTGATGCCCGTTCTAGAATAGCTGTATCACATTCGTTTTCAATTAAAAATTGGGTTGCCCAAACGGTGGAAACACAATGTTGGACTGACTTTGAATCACTTGCGGAGTCAAGAAGTCCAAAATTTCATTTCCTTCGTTCACTGCTTCTACTTCATTTGTTGGGATGATAGGATTTTTTAGTTCGTTAGCCATTTGTTGTTGTATCTCTGTTTTCTTGCTACCTTCAATGTAGAGTTCGTTCGATTTTTGGATCAGTTGTGATCAATTCTCCTTCAGCAGACCGTAACATGCAAATTTGTGAGAAGAGTCAAAAGGAGTGCTTAGATGTTAAAATGACATATTAAATAGAACAAATTAAAATGAAATTGAATAAATTGAAATAAAACACAACAAAATAACAGAAAATGCAAAGATAAATGTTCGAATTAGTGCCAATGTAATTAAAATTAAACGAATACTATATCTCCGACAACGACGCCAAAAACTTGTTCACGAAATATCTTTTTTTCCAATTAAAATCACCGCAAGTGTACGGTTGGTTAACAAGTAATAAAGTGGAATGTTAAATTTCGAGTATCGTCCCACAGAGATTGAGTAGTTCAATTCTAACTATTTTAGCCTTAATCGAAACAATTCAGTCAAAATTGGAATTTATTCTTAGAAAAACCCTAACTTAGTGAACCCTAATTATGCAAACTTGATGGTTGGAATGAACTCAGTATGCAAAACGATATTTTAATGAATTAAAATGAAAATTTTATGCTTAGAACACGAATTGGTTGTATTCAATGGAAATTAAAAGCATTAGGATCACGATTTCCCATACAGTTATCACTTTAAACCCTAATTTCACAATGTGATAACACACTTAAATTGTTGACAAATCAATGCTCCTAAATCTATCCAATATTCTCTTTTGAGATGTATTGAACCTATTTTTACATACCACTGACCTATATTTCTATGACAAGTGCATATATAAAAATGCATGCGATTTTGTGAACACTTAAAGATTCACGTAAGGTATAGCGGTATATTTCTACCCCCTATCGGACCCTACGATAATTTATATTATGTCGAACCTATTCCAATTTTCTCGAATGCAAGAATAAGCCACCTAAACTCACACAATTACATGCCCTTAATTGCGGAAACAATAATTGCATATAAATAATTCAAAACAATCAAAATATGTTTTTAATGTCAAATTGTAAAACTAAAAGATGAAAAATAAATCACATGGTACATCGATCTCTTAGTACATGAAAATCTAGTCTAACATAGATAAAATATAAGAATACATCAGATTTTGAAGAAAAAACATTACCCAGTTATGAATTCTTGATAAATCTTAAAAATTCTCGTGCAATTTTTCGTTACTTGCGCTCAAAATCCTCTCCAAGATATAGTTTCTTGCCTCCTAATACGTTCTTCCTATCAATGTTAACCTCCAATTGGTACTTGGCTCGATAGAATCTTTGATTGCTCCTTTTGTTCATCTTTTGAATATTAGCATGTTGGTCTCTGAACTTTCATTTTGGTGCGTTTTGGTCCTTTTTGCTTCTTTTTCTTATGAATTCCATCATATCCATCAATATGGCCCTATAACATGAAATTGCATAAAATTAAGTCATAATCAACCATTGAATTACAATACAGGGTTGTAAATGATTTCCTTATTTTCACCCAATTCATGATTTTCAGAGATTAATTTGGAAGGTTTAAATGGCAATAATTTTTATGATAATTTGTGGAATGTTTAGTATATTTTAAAATTTAAAATATATTTGGTATTATATGAAATAGTTTATATTTCATATGCAAATGCGATTTTTTCCAATAAATTTTATTGTAGTAATATAATTATTCTTTCCTCAATTGTGAGACTCATGTTGGTCAATGGACAACAGTGGGCCTAAAACAATATTGAGTCCAAGAAATTGATATTAGAGTTAGGCTCTGTTTGTGGCCCTTTAATTTAAAAAATTGGAGTATGGAATAGTGACTGATGTTAAAATGTGTGGTTAAAAAAGAAGAATTTTTTTTATTTACGTGTAATTTATTTTAATGAAGAATGTGCGGTTGAAAATGAGTACTTTAGAAAAAATAATATGATAGAATGTGAGAAAATGATTGATAAACAAGGGTTTATTCTAAAGTTCATTAAATTTCTATGAAATTAATAAAATATGTGATTTAATGTCATTAAAAATTTATTATTGAGGCTTCAATTTTAATATACTTTTTAAGCTAAACTTAAACAGAGTAGGTAAGAGCGAATTGCATCTGCAATCGTTAATGTTTGACATTTTTATACTTTATTATTATTATTATTATTATTTATTTATTTATTTATTTTCCTTGAGCTTAACCATCCATACCAAGTGACATCTAGAGATGACGATCTACACTGGGGATTACTGTCCCGACCTGTCCCATTGCTATTTCTAATGATGCGATCACCTTGCTTGAGATGAACCTCAATTTGTTCTCGGAGTCTTTTGCAAATCTAACCGCTCAACTCTTTTAACATGGCATTCCTATTTCTTGTGATAATCATGTCTATATTGATTTGTTGCATTTTCATACATTTATTGTTGAATCATTATAATTATTTTAGTCGTGACTAACTATATATTTTGCAGTGGGGTGTGCTTTTGATGCCTTAAACGATCGATGTGCCTACTAATTTAATTTAAGTTTAATATGCTTATCAGTTTAGTAACTTAAATTAGATTATCAAATATATTTATTTGATTATGTGCATTTTATCTTCAGATTGTGTATAGACATTGAGTTGGAAACTTCCTTTCTTAATAAATGTAGTTTTGGTAAATTAATTTAAAAGTGATAATTGGAACAAGAAGATAGGAATTTAGTAAGCCAATAAGACCAGTTTAAGGCTTAAATATGTTAAAAAGAATAATAAGGGGTTTTATTAATCAATTTTACCAATTAAACCTAAATAGATATCCCAATTAAACCTAAATAGATATCATTAGGATTTAAGAGTCAAGCCTTATTTTACTCTTCCTTCCAATAATCCTAGATACATTAAGACCAAATTCTTCTCCAAAATATGTTTCTGCACTATTCATTATCTTGTAAAGAAATTCAACCTTGAATGTACAACACCCCAGAACTCCTAACAATACCACAAAGACCGATTTGAAAAGGATTTGGAGAGGCAGGGATCAAAATGAAATATTTTTTAATCGATATCCAAAATTCTTGTCCACCAACTCTATGCTTAAATCGGAATTTCTCGCCTACAATTAAGGTCACAGGATTTTCACTTTATTACATTTTATTTAAGTAAATTTATTGTAAGGACCGTACTACATGTACATAAAGATTTATCTAACCGTTTACACCCCACTCACATCATCAAGGTAGGGATCACAGCTTGACATTATTAAATACACGTGGGGCTCGCGTGTTTGTGAAAGGGGGGGGGGGGGGTAAATGCTTTGGTAAACCCCCTCAGTACAAAGAGAATAATCCTTAATGTAAATTCTTTTACGTCGCAATCTTCTCACATCGTGTTTAATCCAAATTAAGACTTGGCCGGAAATCTTGATTTACATTCACTCACATATCCACGTGTATGCATATAGGTTATAGGTATATATATGTGTGCGCTTATTGATTTTTGGGTTATGTGTTGTACATATAAATTTGTGGGCATGTATAGAGGTGTGTCTACCGTATACTTTATATATGTAAACAATATAATATATGTTTTGTGTTTTTATTTAAAAAAAATGAATTTTGTAGATTTTTCTAAATAAACGATATTTCCACTCCCATTGAAAAAGTATATCTCCTTTTATTTTAAAGGTTGGACCCCAACCTTTAACTTAAATTGTCCTTATGTGAACTTGATATTAATTTTTACATTTTATGTTATTAACGCTTCTCATGACATATTCATGCACATCAACGCATTCATAAGCATACATGATGTATGTCGAATATTTTTATTACGAGCTATATGTCCATGACATAAAAGGTGAGAGTGGGAAATGGGACGTAAGGGATTTACGTACCCGACCAATATTCAATGATAATGTTATCCGCTTTGCGATACTACTGATAAGATTCAATCGAGTTCCAAATAATAATTGCCCACTGTATTTCGATTGACTAGGCAAATGGTGATACACTAAATAAACTCACGACATCAATGTTAAGTTATTTTTTTATTTTATTTTATAAAGGAATGAAAGAAATGAAATACATATTAAGAAATGTTTTTATCTTAAAGTAATTCATATACATATGACAATCATACATTGCTTATTAAGCGTTAGCTCATTCCACGTTATCCTTCCTGATTTCAAATGACGAAAGCAAGATGATTCAAAATGATTACTTACTAATGCATTTAATGTTGACTCGAGTTGAAATAAATTTAACATTTAATTTGATTTTCTTATATTTTTATTAAATATAAAAGTTTTCTAAACTCTTTCTTTAAATGAAAGCCATTAATATTTTTATGTTCAAGAAAAATTTATAATCAGTTATTTAAGAAAATTAATGAGAACAAATTTAAATCTGGTATCTAGATTTGAGGGTGCTTAAAACTCTAATCGAGTTTGTAAATGTAATTAAGCCCTTATTTGATAAATTTTTCTTAAACTTAATGATTTTTTTAATAGTGAATTTTTTGAGAATGTGTGGTTAAAAATTAGGAAAAGTTTTTAGGTTTACATGACATATTTATGGTTAGAATGTGATTAAAAATGAGTGTGAATTTTTTTTCAGAAAAATGATTGTCAAAGCTAAGCGTCTATTTGGTGGCATTTATTTTTAAAAATCAGATAAAAAATACGCTTTAAATAGGTTTTTTTTTTTTTTTTTTTTGATGCTAAAAAGGAGGAATTTTTTTTTTTTTTTAAATTTACATGTAAAATAATTTATTGTGTGAATATGTATGAAAAATAAAATAAATTAAAGAGAAGCAAAGGAATCAAACTGAGGCTAAGATTGATAAAAATGAAGTAATTGTCTGAATTATGAAAGATGAGCAAGGTTAAACCCAGCTTGCATTTTACAAACGTTTCTCCATTACATTCCACAGTAAGCAAGCAACAGATTAAACACACACAGCGTGCGCGCACACATACACACACTAAAAAAAAAAAAAAAAAAAAAAAGAGAAACTTATGAAAACAGCAACAAGCATTTATTCGAGCCATGGAACCTGGATCTTAATAATGTACCATCATCCATCTTCAAGTTCTACCACCACTACTTTCTCTACTTTCCTGTGCTTTTGGCTGTATCACCTGCCCAGTCTCCTTCGTTTTCTGCCCAACATGCGTGGCCGTATCTGCCATCTGCCTCTTCGCGTAATCCAGCTGCTCCTGCATGGCCCCAGTAACCTGCCTCAACGAATTCACAACCCAAGAAAGTGACGACAGCCCGGTTAACCCAAAGGCACCGGAAGTAAGGAAAGCAGTGACAGCAAGGCCAATGAGAATTGCGGCTGGAACGAGAACCGGACTGAAGATGATGAATAGAGGGGTGGTCACAGCAAGGCCAATAAGGCTTCCAACAAGGGTCAGTCCGGCTAGTGCCAGTAGGGTTCCACCGACAGGGAGGAGAGTGACGACTGCCAAAACTTGGCTAGTTGATGGACCCTTTTGTGGAAACTTCATCCCGCCGCCTTGATCGTAGCGTGACTGAGTGTGAACTTGGACTTGGTGGGGCTGTGGACGATCACGATCCGCCATGAAAATAGTAGCGGAGTGAAGAAATTGATTGTGTGGTTTGTATGAGAGAGGAAGAAGAGAGAAAGAGGAGATTGAATGAAGAGAGATTTGATAATGAGGTGGAGTTTTAAAAGAGAAATCAAAGAGCAACGTGTTGGAGTGCATGTGTAGATCCATCGTTAGGGCATTTGCATGATGTACAAGTTGCATTGTGTGTTGCCACATTTCTTTCCTCTCTTTTTTTATTTATTTTTATTTTTTAGTGGGTCGTTTTATTTTGGTTTTCATGTAAAGAAACCGAGTTCTATGGGTTTAGTCTATTAAGGACTCGTTATTCATGTGATTAGTGTTATAACGCTCAGATCAATCGGACCAGACCAATCGATTCAGTCCAAAAGCCATTGAATCAAACCCATACTCGGTTTGGACCACTCATTTTCATAACTGTATTTTTAACCCATTTTAAAATCCATTGAACTAGCTACATTGTGCAAGTCAGTGTCCGAGTTGAGTTTGACAACTATGCATGTGATAGTAGCACAAATTGAAATAAGATTAATTTCATTTTTGGTCGGTAAACTTTTGATAAAATTTCAATTGAATAACTTATTTTTAATTTATCACAATTGGATCATTTAACTATGATTTACTTTCTAGCATTTTATAGTTCAGGACTTTATGTAAATATGTCACCTAATTAAGTCTCGAAATTTGCAGCCCCATCATTGAGAGAAAATATTTACCAATCGACACCTTTCACCTCCGCCAAGATGATAATCAAGCTCCGAAACATTGCCACCATCTTCCAAATTCTACTAATACCTCCATCAACATTAAGGTGACATGTTATATTTGTAGGGTAGCCCATGTCATACCAACAACATAACTCGATATATCTTAGCAAAAAATTCCAAACACTGCAAATCAACACCTTCCACCACCATCATTGTCGCTATGATCGGATCAAGCTCCCAAACACTATCTTCAGCTTCCAAATCCAACCAATAACGCCATCATTATCAAACATTAAGTTGTGATTTTAAGTAAATTTTGTGTTTATTTCACATATAAACGTCATTTTTGGTCACCTAACTTCGAAAAGAAATTTCAATTGGGTCACGTATCTTTAATATATCAATACACATTTAGTTATTTCTAGACAACTTTTTTGGGGGGGGGGGGGGGGGGGGGAATCCAAACATCAATTGAAGACAAAACTATTTAATATAAATTTCCAAAAAATGAAAACTTGCAATTAACACGGATTATTAAGACACAAAATTTTTATGCATCAATGACGCATGAGAGCATTATGTGGCTCCTGAATCTCACTAATTGCTTGGACTTTGTAGCATCTTCTGAAGAACAATCAACACGAAATGATTTCGAATGCCAGTGAAAAATTGTGACCTTTTGTATTTCAGGCTGTATCGCGAATAAATTAATGTAATAATAACTCTCATTTGTGTAGAAATTGGAAGTATTATAGCTTTGTGAAGTAGAAGACAGAGATTCGTATTTGGCGGTGTCCGTGAAATTTATTTTTCTTTATTATTTTTATTACTATCGGAATTAGAACTTCTAATTTCTCTTTCTTGAATTTATTCATCGGTGGTCGTGGATTCAACCTAGTTTTTTCTATTGGAAATTGTCTCAAATGGTCTTTTTCATAATAAAATAAGGTTTAACAATGAAATCATCAAATTGTAAAATCGAATCGAAATCACTTTTTTGAAACCTTTAATTTTGTCAACGTAGATTCGTGAACGTTTTGGTTTTGAACCAAACCTCATGGCTTTGAAGTGGTTTGGTTTATCTTTGAATCTTTGCAAATCGTTTCAAACCACTATATTGTTGACCAAAAAAAAAAAATTTAATTTAAATTTCATCCAACCAAATTAAAATTACACACATCCCACTTAAAAAGATACATCCATATGATACATAACCCAATCAAACTCAATACCTAGATAAACAATTATTCATTCTAATTAATAACTTAAATCATACACAAATACACATCAGTTATCACAATGGTGAATTCAAAACCCTCAAATTGCGTGAAGTATTGAACAACTACTGTTGAATCATATTTATCGACCGTCCATTACAATTGAATAGACAAATAAATCTAGATTTTAATTCAAATTCACACATTTCTTTTTCTTCTATTAATATTTTTCTCGAATTTCATCAAAATTTTCCTATTTTGTTTTGATTATTTGCTATATTTTATTGGTTTTGTGTTGTTATGTTCTAATTTTGTCTAGCTCTTTTAAATCTTTAGCGGAAAGCATTTTTTGTTTGTTTGCATCTCAACTTGCTAGTCAAGTTAATCAATTAATTATTTACAGTTTAACTTAATTTTTAAATTTTACAGTTAATCTCTAGGATCTAGCAATTGATTTGGTGGACTACTTAAATGGTCGTTTTGAAGATTTGACCAATGAACCTTTCGAAATATTGCTTTATTGAAAATTGAATGCAAATACAAACAAAATTATCTCCCAAGTTGCTAAAGATATGTTAGCTATTCGAATATCCACAATTATTTCCGAATCTGCAATCCTTATTAGATCCTCGATCTTTTAAAAAGTTCGTTGATTGCTAATATATTGAGGTGGTGATCTCTCCTAAAAGAACGTGTATTGAATCGTCAATGGTAAAAGCACTAAATGATTCATAAAAAGTTATAAGTTGTATTATCGTATTTGATATTTCTATTTATTTTCTATTATTGGTTGTTTAGATATCATTTAACTATAATAATCTAATAAATGGTCATTTAAAATGTTTATAAAATGAAGTGTTTTGATTTGGTATGGAAAAATTTTAAACCATTTTAATTGGTTTGATTTGAAAATTTGTCATAGACCACAAAAACCAAATAGTGTTCACCCCTATAATACAATTTGAATTTTTATCCTTTAACCATAATAATATTTTTAGTCAAAATCTATAAACTACCTAATATATCCTTATTCAACATCACAGAAAACTCTATTTCCCCCTTTGCTCAATGGAATCGATTGAATCCCTATATCCTAAACCTAATCTCCTCTCTCTTCGCAACTTCTTCATCCTCAAATCCTTCTTCTCTCTTTGTGACTTCTTTGTCCCAAAGTCCTTCAATTGAAAATTGGCTACTTCATCTTCTTGAGCGAAATGGGGAATTGGATATGAAGGTTTCATCCATTTCCCAAGCTCGATCCAACCGAAACCCAAGAAAAGTCACTGCCACGAAAAACCACTTTTAATAACCAATTTAGTAGTGGGCTATCCTCAAGTATGAATGTTTCATCCATTTTCCCTTATTACTACGATTTTATTCGGATTTATTATTTATTCATTCATTTATTTTTTAGAGAAATTCATGTGTATGTGCTTTTAAGTATCAGCAATTGCAGATTTCTGGGGTTTTAATTTTATTTCTTAATAAATTTTAAAATTGTTTGGACTTTGTTTTATTTAAAACAAGGTTTCACATTTTGAAACACAAAGTTCTTGAGTAAGTGCTACCTACTCTATTACTTTTAGTTGATTGAGTGGAGATTCATGTGGATTTATTTGATTACGAATTTGTTTGTATTTATACTATATACATTTATTTGAAAGAAATAATGCATTGTATGCATGTATTTAATTGAAGGAAACACGAACATTTACTAACATTTACCATACCATGTGCATTGATGCTTTTATTCCTTTTATTTTTGTATATCTAGAGGATTTGGCTGTGCTTTCTAAAGCAACAAACTTGTTGGGTATTTTAACCCAAAGACCACAAACAATAATAAATTGAACGAAACACACAATACAAAAATAGTAAATAATATAGGAAATTGTTCACCCAGTTTGGCTAAGGCAACATTTGTGTTCAATAACTGCTAGAAAAAAAAATTCAATTGAATTAACGCTGCAAGATTTTCACATTTGCAGTCCTACTTAGTCTTGTAATTGCATTATAAATACATTGCATGGTATTGCCTTTTCTATTCTCTTGCATTTTCTTGAAAAAAACTACCATTTTTATCTCTACAAATTTCTATGAAACAACTTAAATGGATTTAATGAGAGGACCCTTTGAGATGCTACTGAGTACAGAGTAGGAGGCTCAACAAATTGTGTCTACTGCTAAAAACTTAAAAATGAAATGATTGAGGTAAGCTAAGGAAGAAGCTGAGAGGAAAGTGGCAAACTACCGCTCCCATTTGGAAGCTGAGTACAAAAAGAGTATTTCTAAGTTAAGTGGGAGCTCAAACTCAACAGCTAAATGGCTTTACACAGAAATCGAAGGGAAGATTCAAAGCTTGAAGCACATTACAACCGTGAGAACATTATGTGTGAAGGTTTGTGATCGATATGTCAATTAATGACTTGCTTGAAGTTCAACGATTGCGAACTCGTGAACAAATCATTCTTTGATTTGACTATAAATTATTGGTTTTTCATTTTGTTATTTCGATTTTTGGTACTATGTCTGATCTCACAGTAATAAATTTGAGCAATGGAATAAAAAAAATTGCATTATAACATCCAAAATTTGAAAAATAGAATGAGCAATACAATATTACAACCTACTGGAGATGTAAGATTTGAAAACTTGAACACATAACAATGGATCCCATGAGAAATAACGAAAATCTTACGTGAAAAATAAAAGAAAGAACAAAGTTACCAAATAAAATGTAAAAAAATGACCATATATAGTGTAGTCTTCGTCACGATTAAGGCAAAAATTGGATGAGATTCAGTACCTATGGCTATGGGAGATTAATGGCAGGCGTGGGCGACTGAGAAATGGTGACTGGCATGAGCGATTTGTACAGGGAAATTGGAGAAGAATGAGAGATTTTACTAGCTATTTTGATCTCGTCTTCTTTCAATTAGGTCCTCTTCATTTGTTGTTTGTGGACAGGTAGGGTTAATTGGTTAATAGGGCTATAATTGGGCTACTTAAGTGGATGGGTAGGGTTGGAGTAGGTTTTTCTTTTCAACAACATTTAGGAAACTCGCAAAATAAATCGTTATAGCAACATTAAAAAAATGTTGCAAAAGAGGTAGATTTAGCAACGCTATTACAAAC